AGAGACAGCACCAGATACCGATGGGTACAGGAGCAACCGAGCTCAGATACCACCAGCTAGGGCCGATGCTTGCTGATAGTTCCCATGTCTGGCTAAGCAACAGGTTTCCCCTCCCAGAATTCAACCCGTTACAGAGTTGGCTGGCACCCCAGGATCCAGGCTTTCATGAAACATCTCCTCTGGGAAAGGCTGCAGAGGGTCTTCCTCTGCCCTGCGTTATGCTGATTCTACCGGCCGTCTCTCGTGGCAGTCGGGGCGAGCACTGGCTGGTTACTATGCCCATCTCTGCCTCCATGGGGGTTTGGGTGTTTGTATCTGGCTTTGATGAGTTCCCGTGAACTGTTCTGGGAGGGGGCGAGAGTGGACAATGGGGCCTTCTGGCACACTGCCAGGAGTGGCACATGATTGAGGGTGCCAACCTCAGAGGAATCTGGCCAAAACAAGGCAGACACCCCAGACTGGTGATTTGTTCTTTGGTTAGATTGTGTGAATCACTATACCAGCCTTACCATGGAGCCCCAGACAGTCCCCTTAGATGCTCTGGTCTATCTAGCCACTCAGTGGTTTGAGCATTGGCCTGCTAAACCCAGGGTTGTGAGTGCAATCCTTGAGGGGACCACTTTAGGATCTGGGGCAAAATCAGTACTTGGTCCTGCTAGTGAAGGCAGGGGCCTGGACTCAATGACCTTTTGGGGTCCCTTCCAGTTCTATCAGATAGGTATATCTCCATATATTGGCACCAAAACTCACCCCACATTCAGGTTGCTCCCTGTGGTGCCTGGGGCAGCCCTCACTGCAAATGCCAAGGCCAGGGCAGGGTGCAAAAGGGAGAGCAGATAATCCCAAGACTGGTGGATAACAGTAAAATTAATCTCCTCAATCAGTCACAAACTGTGCTTCTGATTCCCCCACACTAGTTATCAAGAAGCAAAAAAGAAATCACACAGCCCCTTCATTGCATTCCAGTTCTCTGGCTGCTAATCAGCACCTAGGTCAGTACAGTGAGAAGTTATTTAAAAACTCTGCTCACTATACAAAATGTTCTTCTGACCCCAAAGGGCCAGTCACGTCATCAGGTGAGTATAGGTACCATGCTGCCAGCCAATCCTTTAGTATCTAAAACTAAGGGTTTATTATAAAGAAAAAAGAAAGAACAAGAAGAGAGATGTTAAATGGTAAAACAGTCACATATATACAGAGACTTCAAAATCCATATATCAGGTTCCTGGCAGTATTGGTGACTTTGCTGGCTTGAAAGTCGCTCTGGCACACATCCACAGCTTGGATGGGTCATTCAGCCCTTTGTTCAGAGTGTCAATTTGTAGCAAGGTACCTCCAGAGGTAAGAAGCAGGATTGAAGACAAAATGGAGATGATGCAGCTGCCTTTTATAGTCTTTTGCCATGCAGCCTGTGCTTCCATTGTTCCAAACAAAAGCTGCCCAGCACTTGAAAGCCTAAGGGCTTGTCTACACTGGCACTTTGCAGCGCTGCAACTTTTTCGCTCAGGGGTGTGAAAAAACACACCCCTGAGCGCAGCAAGTTTCAGTGCTGTAATGCACCAGTGTAAACAATGCCCCAGTGCTGGGAGCTAAGCCCCTTGTTGAGGTGTTTTTTTAGAGCACTGGGAGACTTTTCTCTCAGTGTTGCGCCGCAACCACACAAAGCACGTTAAAGCGCTGCTCTGGCAGTGCTACCGCGGCAGTGCTTTAGAGTTGCCAGTGTAGACTAGCCCTTAGAGTGCTGGGAGAGAGCGGCAGCACGTTAACTTTGCCATTGAAGATGTGCCCTTAGAGTTCTGTCCATAGACATGCCCTTGCATGCCTTGCTGAGTCACAATGTGTATCTACCTTCTCTCAATGGGTCAATAGTATAGTTGATGGTCCTCAATGGGCCATCAAGCAGGCTAGGCAGAGCTGATGCCAAACTGTCTGGGGATGTCACCCACAAGTATAGCACAAATTTGAAATACAGATATACATACATAGCTATAACTCATAGCACAAAGGTGATACAAATGCATACATGAGATTATCACATCTGGCAAATTATAACAATATTGCAAATACCTTCCATGGCATATCTGGCACAACTCATTGCAATTTTACAATATTAATATTAATAATATCCTCAAGCGTCCCCCAGATTCCATACAGTGTCACACCAGTCACTAAGGCCATGTCTACACTAGTGAGTTTACAGCAACACAAATGTACCAATGCAGCTGCACCGCTGTAAGATCAATCATGTAGCTGCTCGATGCCGATATGAGCAACCTCTTCCATCAGCATAATTAAACCACCCCCAACGAGCAGTGGTAGCTATGTTGTCAGGAGAAGCTTTCCTGTCGACATAGCGCTGTGCAACCAGCGCTTCTGTTGCTGTAACTTGTGTCACGTCGGGATGTGTTTTTTTCACACCCCTGAGCGACATAAGTTATACTGACAAAAGTGGTGTTGGAGACATAGCCTTACTCCAGATCAATTGGTACCTAGATCTTACACCAAAGACAATGCTCGTAGCCAATCCTGTAATCCATGGTACACCCACATCTGGAATACTGCGTGCAGATGTGGTCGCCCCATCTCAAAAAAGATATATTGGAAATGGAAAAGGTACAGAAAAGGGCAACAAAAATGATTAGGGGTATGGAACGGCTGCCATATGAGGAGAGATTAAAAAGACTGGGACTTTTCAGCTTGGAAAAGAGATGACTAAGGGGGGATATTAGAGAGGTCTATAAAATCATGACTGGTGAGGAGAAAGTAAATAAGGAAGTGTTATTTACTCCTTCTCTGTATACAGACCTAGGGGTCACCAAATGAAATTAATAGGCAACAGCATTAAAACAAACAAAAGGAAGTATTTCTTCACACCACGTACAATCAACCTGTGGAACTCTTTGCCAGAGGATGTGAAGGCCAAACATATAACAGGGTTCAAAAAAGAACTAGATAAGTTCATGGAAGTTAGGTCCATCAGTGGCTATTAGACAGGATGGGCAGGAATGGTGTCCCTAGCATCTGTTTGCCAGAAGCTGTGAATGAGTGACAGGGGATGGATTACTTGATGATTTCCTTTTCTGTTCATTCCCTCTGGGCACCTGGCATCGGCCACTGTCAGAAGACAGGACACTGGGCTGGATGGACCACACTTCTGACCCAGTCTGGCCATTCTTATGTTCTTAATGAATTATCTAAAGGTTTATGAACTAGGAAAAAGGAATAAGAGAGTTACTTCCAGGTTAAAGCAGGCAAACATACACACCCTGATGAATTACCATCTAACTCCGAAGAGTGCCAGAGCCATAGTGGTTTGTCAGTTCAAAATGTCTCTTGGGGCAGCCCCTGGGGAGCTTTGGTGCCAGTTTGGTGCCTGTAGCCCACTCAGACATTAAACAGCCCAGAAGACAGAAAATTGTCTTGTGGCTTCCTTTCATTTACATCCTTCAGCTTCCAAGCCCACAGCACTTTCTGGAACATCACATTTCCCAGTGGCCAGAGAGCTATTAACTAATTTTTTGTATTGTAATGGTCTGGGATGGCCCATCTGATTTTGATAGTCCATCTGGATGGATGCCAGAAGGGGGGGGGGGCGCGGATGATTCCCATGCCTGGGTTCCCAAGTTCAGAGCAAACACTTTTAATGTTATAAAGCAAAATGTTCCTGTTTCCCTATAGCCTGGAACACAGACATGGCACGTGAGATTGATGCAGGCAGCAATGTACAAGCATTTCATAGACTGTAAACTCTAAATATGTTCTTGTAAGACTCATCCCTCTTTTGAGCGAAACTAACACACAGGTGAACAGTCTGTTCTCCAGCGACCAGTTTGTTAATTCTTAGCTAATGCCAGCTGCCTGGGCCTGCCAGCATCACACCATGCAGTCTATCACCAGCTAGCCAGGGAGTGCTGACAGCTCCCTCCGGTGTGAACAGGCCATCCCCAGGCCACGAGATCCCATGAATGGTCACTCCAAGCCCATTAGACGTAGGTGCCGGGATAGAGATACTAACCTGAACTAGTGTCCGTACACACGGCTCGCAGCGAGGATGAAGCTTGACAAGTTACCAGCTTTCAGTAGAGTCCTCACACACTGACCTTGAGGGATAAATACCAGGGAGGTGGTGTCTGAGGTGTAGTGAGTTTGTCAGGTCTGAGACCGGAGAGGCTTGTGAAGGACAGTGAACACTTCGCTGGTTGGCACCAATGGGCCTCTGGGTCACAGGACACTGGGATCCAGGACTCCTAGGTCCTATCCCTGGCTCTGGGAGGGGAGTGGGGTCTAGTGAGTTAGATAAGGGGGGGCTGGAAGGCAGGATTCCTGGGTTCTATCCCCACCTGTGTCATTTCCCCTCTGGTGCTGCACAGTCATAGCTCTCAGCTGTACAGTGTCACAGAGGCTGCCACATCCTGTTCGTTTGGTCACAAACTAACCGGGGGGGCTTCTCAGAAATCGTCCCGCTGCTGTCGCTGTGACATGTGTTCATGGCTGCTCTGCCCCAGCCCCACCCTGTTCACGGCTGGGCCACCCTGAGAAAGATCAAAGGGCCAAGTTCCCACCCACCACTGAGATCTGTCTCTGTTACCCACAGCCCCCACCACAGAGACACAGGCAGGAAGCTGAGCGAGGATGGGGCCAGGTGAGTAAGATCCCCAGATGTGCACAGCTGTGAGCCAGCAGCAAGAGCACCCCTGGATCCTGCTAGACATGTGTCCACCAGGGTCCTCTCCATCCAGTGGTGCATCATCCATCCAGTTGTGCAGAGACCCAGCCATGCAGTATCCAGCCAGCTGTGCAGGATCCCCGGCTGACGCACGGCCTGTCCTTCCCCTCACCCCATGTGATTGGCTGTGGTTGGAAACTGAGACACCTGAGACCTGCATTTAGATGAGTGTGTGGGCGACCCTGAGGTTTCCTGCCCCCCAGATCTCCTCCCAGCTGAGTCTATAAAGCCCCCGGTCTGAGGTAGATGCACTGTCCCTGCACTGACTCCAAATATGAAGGTACAGATCTTGATCCTGCTCCCCATGGCCTTTCTCCTGCCCCCTGGGACTTGGGCTGGTGAGTACGGCTGCGATCAGGGGCCCCTGGGATTTGGGGCTTAATGGGGGGGCTCTTAAGGATTGGGTTCAGTGGGTGGTATCTAGGGGCCTGTGACAGTCTGTACCCATATGTTCACCCCTTTTACAGGGCTATGATACATTTTATACAAAGCATGCCTTGTGAGGTATCATCTAAAAAACTCATAATTTGCTGATCATTACTGTCTTGGTAAAATATGTGTGGCAGCTAAAGTTATAATATTCTGCTCTATGGTGTTACTAAGACATGTTTCAAGTCTGGGAAGCTGCCACAATCCAGTTCCCCAGAGACAAAAGACTAGCTGATGCCTCAGCCAGGTGTCAATATAATCAACTGGACTATCACCTGGTTAAGTGGCCTTTCTTGAGCAGGAAAGAGGATGTGGGCGAAAAATTTACATCTTGACAAAGAAAGAGCTTGGGTTCCCATTCAAACACTTTCTGTCTCCTGAATCTCAGGTGTTGATGATTCTTGTAGAGGAGAAACAGCTATAAGAAGGGTGAGCAGATGCCCCAAAGGATCTCGCCCTGTCTCTTTACCCACGGCACTGACAACACTGGAAGTACAAAGGAAGCAGCATTGGGGGAGGGGATGGGGGTGGGGGGAATGGAACCTGACTGAAGGAAATTCAGCCAGTAAGATTGTCAGTGCCCTTTTAGGGCTTGCCTGGCCTAATCTTGGAGGATCTTGGCCCCAAATGCCATTAACTCCAGGCAGTGCGATTATTGACCCACTCCCTGTGCGTTTGGCATCAATTATCCACCCAGCGAGAGCAGAGCTTTAGATTCACCTCCAGGCCCCATGGGGTGTTCAGTCTGGGGCAGAGCCGAGCAGGGGGCAGGGTTCCAGGGAGAACATCACAACAGGTGGGATGACATGGCGACTCCCCTTCGGGATGGGGAGCTCGGTCCCAGCCCACCCAAGGAGACAATGTGGCTCTTTGTATGACCCTAGTATCCCCCCAGGTGAGATCATTCAGGGCCAGGAAGCCAAGCCCCACTCCAGGCCCTACATGGCCTTTCTGGATATAAGAGATGGAGAAAAGAGGTCTCGCTGTGGAGGGTTCCTGGTGTCGGAGAACTTCGTGCTGACGGCTGCTCACTGCAATGGAGAGTAAGCGCCTCTGTGCTGGGGATGTCAGGGCAGGTTGGGGTTAGCAGGTGATGGGGGAGCTGGGAGCTCTGGCACCGTCGTAGGTTGCTGGGAAGGAGCAGTGAGTGTGACAGGCTGGGAGAGCAGAGCCCAGGGGTCTAATCTGCTCAGGGGGTGTTGGCATGTTTCTAGATGCCTGTGTAAACCATGGTCCCTATCCAACACTGGGTAAATCAATGTGCCAACGGCCACTGACACTAGCTGGTGTCTGGCCCATTGCCTAGAGCAGGACAGGGAGGGGCTCACAGCCACACGATGGTTCTGCAAGGCTCTGAGCTGGGGGGAGCTGGGCATAGAATCCTTTGTGGATCATGCTGGGGAATGATTACTGGGGTGCAGGGAACTGAGACCCAGGGGCTGGGAGGACAGCCGAGAGTGAAGCAGCTCATGGGAACAGCACAAGGGGCTGGGGGAGACAGAGGCTGGGACCCCCACACCAGTTAGCAGGTGTTTGTGCTGCAACCAGTGCCCACTGGAGGGGAAAGTCCCTTTGTGCCATTCTACCCCCCGCCCCTCCGAGCCAGCCAATCCCCTGTCCCGGGGCTGGATTGGAGCTGCCAATGTGTATAGCGGTATGTACATTTTTGCTGGCATAAGCTGAGTCCGATAGCTTGGCCTGAGAGCTGAAGGCTGCCTGTCCCCTCCATGTCACTATTCATGTGACAGACTCACATTTGTCTGTCCCCCACTTCACGTACGCTCCTGCCCCTGATGCCCCATGTATTGCTCTTGGCTTTTACAGTGAGATCACTGTCAAGCTGGGAGCCCATAACATTCAACAACGGGAACGGAGTCAACAAAAAATATCTGTGAGACGCCAGATTTCACACCCTCAATATGACAAGGAGACACTTAACAATGACATCATGCTGCTGCAGGTACCACCCCTATCGCATCACCCCACCCCCAGTGACCTCACACTGCTGCAGAAACTGCCCCTATCCCATCAGCCCACCCCCAGTGACCTCACACTGCTGCAGATATCGACCCCATCCCATCAATCCCGCCCCCAGTGACCCCATGGTCATGGGTTTTTGCTGGGGACGGGGTGTGTCTCTGTGTCCTCGAGTGCAACCTTCATGTTTATCTTCATCGGTCTTGTCTCTCAGCTGACGAAGAGCGCAAAGCTCAATAGATGGGTGAAAACCATCGCCCTTCCCCTTGCTAACAATACAGTAAAGCCAGGGACCATGTGCAGCATTGCCGGCTGGGGCAGGACTAGCACAGAGACTAAATCAACCCCGGACACACTCCAGGAGGTGAATTTGAAGGTGCTGAAGGATGACGTGTGTCTGAAAAATCCTGATGAGACCTACTATGACTATGACGCTTCCACCATGATGTGTGTGGGGGATCCGAAGAAGGGCAAAGCCTCTTTCAAGGTGAATCTCCTTTGGGTTCAATCATCCTTGATAAATCATTATTATGAATGAGGCTGTTGGTGTTGCAGTCGTGCCTACGAGCAGCAATAGGGCATCAGGCCCCGCTGTGCTTGATGCTGTACAAATGAATGGGAAAAGAACTGGTCTTGTCTCAGGGGAAGGTAGAGACCAGCTGGACAGGGGAGTGGGTGGGGTGTTTAGACCAGCTGGGTGTGGGGAGCCAAGCGGAGTCGGGGTCACATTGGGGGGGGGGTGATACTGAGACCAGCTTAGCCAGGGCTGTCACTGTGCTGTGCATCAGCAGGAATGACTCACTGAGCTGTTCTCCATCTGTGGCTTGTTTTATTTCACAGGGCGATTCTGGGGGCCCCCTGGTGTGCGGAAAAACAGCCCAGGGCATCGTCTCCTGGGGATCCGAGGATGGGACCCCCCCCTGGAGTGTACACAAGAGTCTCTACCTTCATCCCCTGGATACGGGACACAATGAGGAGGCTGCAGCCCTGAACCGTGCTGGGATTGGCTGTACCGGCCAGAGCTGTGCTGCTTCTGTCCTTTGGAGTTGCCCAGATGTAGGGCCTGCTTTGCATAGGGGCTGAGCCCCCTCTCCCCCAGGATAGCCCCCCTCCCCCCTCGGCTGAGTCCTTCCCCTCACTCTGCTCAGGTAGTGCCCAACCCATGAGCACCAAGGCAGGGAGCCTAGGGGAGTTAGAAGCCAGGTTCAAGGCCAGCTCCCATCACCTCCCTTGGCAATCCCAACCCTTAGGCTCCCTCTTTGCTAGGGAAACAGCTGGTTTATTTCCCCTGGGGTAACGGACACAAGCCCAACCCTGGGAAAGACCCAGCAATTTGTAGCTCTCCCATGTCAGCCAGTCGAGTGACCATTTATGAGAGATTCTCGTTGTTACCTCCACCTGCTAAGTTGTGTTGAAACTGTAGCCTGCCCTGTCCTCACTGGGCCTTTCCCATGGGTTAGTTCCCCTGGGGTGACCACCATCCATCCCAAACTCACCTGTTCCCAGGGCCGGCAAGACCAGAGTGAAGGGAACTCAGCATTGGCCATGCTGAACTGTTGCAAATCAATCCCTGTTGCTAATCACCTCCTTCCCACCTCCCTTGTCCCGCCCTGATGAGCAGCCTGAGGCATTTTGCTTATTGCTTTGTAGCCAGCAATGAATAAAAATGAAGTTACAAAAAAAAAAAGTGATTCCAGGAATGAATGATCAACATGAGCCTCGAAATCCAGAGTAGCTGTTGCATCTGTTCTATCCCTCTCTGTCTGTCAATCCCCATACCCATCCATATATCCTCACGCATCTATCTATCTATCTATCTATCTATCTATCTATCTATCTATTCCATTCACATCCATCTACCTGTCCCCATCATCTGTCTATCCCCTTCCCCATCCATCTATCCCCATCCCCATCTACCTATTCATCCATATCCATATCTTTCTATCTCTCTGTATCTCGCTCCACATCCCCATCCACCTATCCCCATACACACACGCCTCTGTCTATCAATATTTCTATATTTCCCCCACTATGTGATGTCAGAACCAGGTTTCATCTCTTTCATCTCTATGGGGTGTGGGGACTGGCTGGCTCTGGGGGGTTGAGAATCAGACACTTTATTTTCCCACCTTCATCAAGGGGTCTGCAGGAAACAATGCTATCACAGATGGGAGGGGAGTCTGTTCCCTCTGACCCACATCCCTCCCCCCCCGGCTCACACCCACACTCAGGGCTGGGGACTGTTGAGAAAATTCATGGCTTCATAGATTTCAAGGCCAGAAAGGACCATTCTGAACATCTCGTCTGAGCTCTGGTATCACACAGGGCAGAGACCTGCCCCACAATAATCCTAGAGCAGATCTGGTCAACAAATCCAGCCTTGATTTAAAAATTGCCAGTGATGGAGAATCTACCATGACTCTTGGTAAATTGTTCCAGTGGTTAATTACCCTCACTGTTAAAAATGTTATGCCTCATTTCCAGTCTGAATTTGTCTGGCTTCAACCTTCAGCCATTGGATCATGTTAAACCTTCCTCTGCTAGGCTGAAGAGCCCCGGTTAAATATTTGTTGCCCAGGTAGATACATCAAGGAACCTGGTAATCATCTCTTTGTTAAGCTTAACAGATGAACTCCTTGAGTCTCTCACTCTAAGGCAGGTTTTCTAATCCTTGAATCATTCTCATGGCTGTTCTCTGGCCCCTCTCCAATTTTTCCACATCCTCCTTTAAGTGTGGGCACCAGTACTGGACACAGGATTCCAGCAGCAGTTGCACCAGAGCCACATAGAGAGATAAAATAACCTCTCTGATCCTGCTCTAGATTCCCCTGTTTATGCATCCCAGGATCACATTAGCCCCTTTGGTCACAGCGTCCCACTGGGAACTCATGTTCAGATGATTATTCACCATGACCACGAAATCATGTTTCAGGTCACTGCTTCCCAGGATAGAATCCCTCATCCTGTAAGTATAACCCACTAGCTTTATTCCTACATATTTACATTTAGCTGTATTTAAACACATTATTTGCTTGTGCCCAGTTTACCAAAAGATCAAGATGTCTCTGTATCAGTGACCTGTCCTCTTCATTATTTACCACTCCCCCAATTGCTGTGTCATCTGCAAACTTTATGAGTGAGTATTTTATGCTGTCTTCCAGACCATTGACCAGGTTTCCCAGGTCTATGGGGTCAGGGGGCTATAGAGTTTGGATGGCCTCCACCTCAGGAGAAGGAGGACCAGTCTGCATGGGGACAGGCTGGCTAGAGGAGTTAAGAGGGGGCTAAACTAATAGCCAAAGAGGAGGTAAAAAGAGGGAGGAAATGAGCTCTCAGCACAAGAGAAATGGAACTTCCCCAGTGCTCTCAGACTTCTTGAAAATTTGCTGCCCCAAAGAGCATCCAATTCAAACAGACACATTCTACTCATTGTACAGATGGGGAAACTGAGGCCCATGAAGATTGTTTCTAAACCTGCCTAAGGGGTTTGGGTGCCCATCAGCAATCCATGAAAATCCCTGTCTACAGGGATCCTGGGCAGAGCTGGGAACAGGTTCCAAATTTCTCAGGTCCCTAATGTCTGACCTCAATCTCCCTTGCTGCAGATTAAGTCCATTACTTCTTGTCCTGCCTTCAGTGGACACAGAGAACAGCTGATCCCCATCCTCTTTATAACAGCCCTTCACGTATTTGAAGACTGTTATCAGGTCCCACCACCCCTTGACACCTCTGAGAGGCAATACTTCCCCACTTGCAAGAACAGAGTCTGGGTGTAGAAAAGAAACTTTTAATGAAAGGAGGGAAGTGACCTGACATTAATTAGGGAAAATGCCACAAGCAGGATTCAGAATCAAAAAACTGTGAGCAGGACACCCTGCCCCAGAGTGCATGGGGCAGTGTCGTCTGCCTCAGGTTCTTGAATTCTACAACCAACAGTTACTTTACCGTGCCCCTCTCTGCTTCATCCATTCACAGTGGTTATCCTTGGTCAGTGAGGACCCAGGGTTCAGAGGTGCATCTGTGTGAGTTCACCTCCCACTCAGGGAAGAAGGGACCTTGTTTGCTCTGCCACCTGAGTACTTGCTCTAACTGGCCGCCACGCCAGCTGCCGTTCTGCTCCGCCGGCTGCCTCGCCAGTTCCCACCATCCACCCTCACTGGCCGCTAGCTCGCCACTCCTGCCAGCCTCCTGCTTGCCGATCACCTTCTGCTGCCACTTGCCTCTCTGCTGTGACCTCTGCGGCTCAGTATCTTGAAGTTCCACCCAACATTTAGTGATTGTCAGCTCTTAATGGGGGAACCTGAAGCAGGCTGGGCAGAAACGCTGCCCCACCCATAGGCACCGACTCCGTGAGTGCTGTGGGGCTGGAGCACCCACGGGGAAAAAATAGTGGGTGCAGATTACCCACCGGCAGCCAAGCTCTCCCCTGGGTTCTATTCCTGGCTCTGCTGTGTCACTACCCCTCTGCTGCTGCACAGTCATAGCTCCCAGCTGTAGCATGTCACAGGGCCTGCCACATCCCCTTCGCATGAAACCCTCCCACTGTGGTTGCTGTTATTGGGGCCAAGGGCTGGTCTGCCTAGCCCCAGCCTGCTCACAGCTGGGCCACTGTGAGAAAGATCAAAAGGGCCACGTTCTCACCCACCACTGAGATCCGTCACTGTCAGCCACAGACCCCGCCACAGAGACACAGGCAGGGAGCTGAGCAAGGATGGGGCCAGGTGAGTAAGAGCCCCAGATGTGCCCCAGCTGTGAGCCAGGACCGACAGAAGCCCTGGATCCTGATAGACCTGTCTTCCCTGGGGTCTTCTCCGTCCAGCTGGGACCCAGCTGCCGGGTTGATGCAAGGCCTGTCCTCCCACCCAGCCCATGTGGTTGATGTGGCTGGAAACTGAGACGCGTGAGCCCCACATTCAAATAAGTGTGTGGGCGACCCTGAGGTTTCCTCCCTTCCATCTTCCCCCAGCTGAATTTATAAAGCCCCCAGGCCTAAGGCCAATGCACCATCCCTGCACTGACTCTGAACATGCAGCTCTAGATCTTAATCCTGTTCCCTATGGCCTTTCTCCTGCCCCCCGGGGCTCAGGCTGCTGAGTATGGCTGGGATCGGCCCCCCTGGGGCTTTGGGGGGGTCTGAGGGTTGGGTTGCTGTGGTTGGTATCTAAAGACCCGCTGGGGTGAATGAGGGGTGGAGTGGGTGTTCTGAACATCTGGATCGATGCAGAGTTGGACAGCAGCTGCTGGGGCTGCATCCAATAGACCTCAGTCCCGATGGGTGCCAGGCAAGGGCTGGACAGCTGGGCACATCTGGGGAGTGGGGTTGCCAGCACTGGGGGTGACAAAGCTGCTTCTGCTGGGGTGTTCCATCAGCGCCTGCTCTAATCCCTCACCTCATCTCTCCCTGCGGTTCCAGGGGAGATCATCGGGGGCCGGGAAGCCGAGCCGCATTCCCGCCCCTACATGGCCTATCTCGAGAAAAAACCCCAAGGGTGAAGAGAAGTGGGGGGGTTCCTGGTGCGGGAGGATTTTGTGCTGACAGCCGCCCACTGCGCCGATGGGTAAGAACCTGTCTCTGTGCTCCAGTGTCTCCCAGGACCCAACTGTGCAGGGATCCAGCCATGCAGTACCCCCACTTGTTCAGAGATCCAGCCATGCAGCATCCATTGGGCTGTGCAGGGCTTCTTTTGTGCACAGATCCAGTCATGCAGCATCCCCTTCTGTGCAGGTATCCAGCTGGGCAGCCACCCCCCCCCCCCCCCC